AAAAAAAAAAACAAGAATTTTAGATGACAAATCTGTTTTTTTTTTTTAATTTATTTGTTCTACCTTTTTCCACTTTTCTCCTCTTCGCCTAGTGATCATTCTGTAACACTGAAATGAGTCGATTAGTTCAAAGATCTTTGTTGTTTCTTTTTTTTTTTTCTTTGGGGAGGTGGGAGAGGAGAAGAAGAAAGTGGAATGAAAAGGTAGAAATAAAGGATGAAAAAACTCCAAGTAAAACTGCTCATTTTGTTTTGGTTAAGACACACAAAAAGAACAAGAACTTTTAGGTATTACAGTGTTTAAATATTTAGTGACTTTTTTTTTTGCATAACCTTTTGCCCGCTGTGACTTTCAGCAGTAATTTGGGGAAGTTTTCTTTAGCATTTTTTTACCTCTTAATGAACCTGGAAGTTTTTTTTGGAGTATATGATACACAAAAGGAAAGCAGGAAATTGTTCTAACAGTTAACAATTTTGTTTAACTTTAATGTACAACAGTTAGCTAACAATTATAACTGTTTTATATGTAGCTGTTTTATACATTTTCAAATTTTATTTAGTTGGGAATTTCGTTAGTGTTGGTACCATTCAATAAACTCTTCAAATTGTATATTTTTTGTCATTTTTCTAGAGAAAAAAGTAATAAAAAAAATATGAGGACAACAAGTTGGAAATCTGCTTCATTCAAGGAAGTCGTTATCATCGTTTCTAGCTGAATACAATTTTGTGATTCATCCTTTGCCCACTTTGAGAATTGTCTTAATTTTTTTTCAAAACTATTAACTATAGCGTGAAGCACTTTAGTTTTTCTTCTTTTTTTTTTTTCATATCTATTTGAGGTTCAGTATAGCTACGAACCACTTCTTTCCTTTTTTTTGTTCCTGCAAAAAACTTTTCTTTATTTGTTACTTGAAGAAGAAAATATTTATTTTATAATAGTTATTATCTGGCTAAAAAAAAAAAATCGCATCTTAGAGGATCAAAAAGGCAAAAAGTGGAAGAAAAAAACTGGAAGGAAATGAGTTGTTCCAATTGTTGTATGACTCATTTATTTTTTCATCTGTCATAAAGCTATAATCTGTTTACAGCAACAGTAACTGACGTAAACTGTTGATTTTTCAGAAAAGACAGGTTTCTAAATTTAAAAAAAAAATTTTTTTATTTTCATTTTTATTTTGTTGCAAACTT